ACATTTAACTCGAGGAGTTAATTCATCTAAACATAAAAAGCATCGATATTTTTGTAACTTTTAAATAAACGAACTATGATAATATATTTTTATATTCATTTATTTTTGTTTATCTATACATCGATATCATATCAAATTCTCATGATTGTTTTCTATAAATATTGAAAAGAAAATAAAAATATATTACCTTGGATTAAAAAAGTCATTAGTAAAATTTTTAAACAACTAAATAAAAAGCTGGCTTGCATATCATATATATATTCACTAATCGCTCTCAGAATATACGCATATATATTTTTATTCCCAGTTAATCTCTTTTATCAATTATGATAGGATGTTTCTTTAATGTCTTAGATATAATTAATTTGCATCTAACTGAGAAGCCGAAATAATACCTGAAACCAATTATAGTATACGTAGCTAAAATGTGGATTCGTATAGAATTAACACAGCCTATGTACATTGTGAAAAAAAAATAATAAATAAAAAAAAAAAAAAAGCCACTGACATAATAATTATACCCCAAAATATATATCAGTATCCACTCATAAGTTATCCTTTACTAAACAAATAAATGAAGTACATGTAAACGTATTTCTTGACATGTCTAATTAAAACTTGAGCTCAGTATTCAACAGGGACCTAGTATATAGGTCCCTGGTATTCAATTAGCACTTAGCACCTCATGGCGTGAAAACTCGGCGGGTTGGCACATCAAACTTCGAGCACAAACTCTCGCTGTTTTCACGCAGTGAAAGAGAATTGGGGGTGATACAGCTCAAAAGCTAATTTTCAAAAACATGAAGGAATGTCTTAATTAGAATCGGCTGCCGTGCATCTGTAGATCTTCACAAAGTTCAAGAGATTGTTAAAGTAAACGAACTCAGAAGCATTGAACACATGTGCCGGATACAATGTATAAATCTAGGGAATTGCTTGGAATTTTATTTTACTTAACAGGTAAGACTTGTTCATAAATTTCAATTTTAAGTTTGGGATAATAATTAATATACATAATTTGTACGTGTTTCCTCAAATTTAATACGTATACAGTGGTGATTTTCTTTACATATATATCAAGTAATAATTGTTTTGTATATGTAACCGTGATAATGATCTTCGAGGGGCTTGCAGTTTCAGTTTGTTACTATTTCTATGATTACTGTGTATACTTATATTTAAATTAGTTTAAGAAGGATATTTTGAAATTACTTCTTTTCAAAAAATCTACGATATAATTGCACGCGTAATTAGTGCAGAAATAAGGGATAGACATTTGATTAACAGAAATCATAATGAAAAAGGCTTAATGCATAAACGTACGTGTGTTCATTTTAAAATACTAGGATCATGTAATTTTTTAACTTTCCCCCACATTTTTTGAAATTATTATCAATACACTTCTAATCCTGATGTTGATCATGTTGAATTTTCCAAAATATTGTCTAAATGAACACGATGAAAACTTCGTCTTTTTCAATAATTTAATTTATTTGTGAAAGATATTGTTTAATCTGGAATATTGTTTAATCTGACCAATTTCTTTGAAACCAGTGACGGCATGATTAGACAAGATTTACTGTACATACTGATCAAGTTCAAGGTCGAATGAACAGTGGAAGAATTTTTATTGTTCTAACCCCCTCCTCCATTTAGAAAAAGAATTACACTTTTAAAAAATATGATAAAGATCAACGATTAACATGATTAATAGCTTTTATCTCATAGCATTTTGACTCTGATCTCTAAATTGAGGGATAAGACAACCATGCTTAAAATACACTTGCATGTAATCAGTATACATGTGGTATACACATGGTATATGTATTATGAAAATTAATAAATTAATGGTTTTGTAACGGGCATTGAAAATGGAGGCAAGATCAATTCTATTCAATATATAGCATTTCAAATAGAATTGAAATGTTAAAGGTAAACTTATTTCCTATTGTTTAACCTAATAAATGATATGTGACAAAAGAAACCCTAAACTTACTAAACCCTCCATGCACCCCATGTTGACAAATCAGCCTCCTATTAAAATTGCCGGTTGATAATTTGGAAAAAAAATTGTGTGTGTTATTATAAGAATATTAATTCATCCAGCTTTAACTACACAATAAAATAAGAATGTCTCGTTCTGCAGTCCTGTGTAGTAGAACTTTTATATATATCCCGATACATGTACCTGTACTATACGCATGGGCAAAGATGGGCCGGGGAGGGGGAACTCGGGGGGGGGGGGGGGCTAGGTCCTCCAAATCAAATGTCAATATTTTATCAGAGGTTTTTTTTTATCAGCGGTTATCTCTACTGCACCAATTAAATTGTGCTCTTAAAGTTCACCTCTTTAAATTCGGTTAATGGGTAATTAAATGATGAGTGTATATAAGAAATTCGTTGGAATGGATGATGCCGAATTCACGGTCCTTTTTTACGTTATTTTATCTTGAATCAGTTTATTCAATTAGCAAACATGAATCGAAATTAAAGGTTACTCGGCACAGGAAATCAAAGTACTGAAAGTAACATCAGTTATTGATGGTTAAATGTTCTCAGATGTACATGTAATCACACTTGCTAAACACAGAAATACAGCTACGTAGCAGTTGCCAATATTTGTGCAAGGTTACAGTCCGAGGGAATGAAACATATGGAGATAACGAACAGTATTCCAGATCAAAAGTCCATAAAGCAATACAAAATAGGATCAGAGCAAACACGGACCTCCAAACCATCACAAGTGGGATCAAGTGCCATTGAGGAGAGACTCGCCGTGTGCTCCTTGTCGTGATCGGGAAATAACGGAAAAATACGTCGTCAATTCAGTGTATAAATAATGGACTTACAATTAGAATGAAAAACATCAGTCAGCATTTGACTCAATGATAAACTGTATTTGCTGACAAGGTCATGGTATCGACCATAGAACTTACGAAATGATAACTTTAAACGAGACGGCTGATATATTGGTTTCATCAACTTGTTTGTCAATAATTTACCTCTGTTTAGAAATTGTTTATATGAAGCGCATGTTCTTTGCGTATCGGATCAATTGAGATATATAAACTCCGTATGCAGGTGATGAAGGTATATTGCTGCATACATGTAAGTAAGGGAAGCTGACGACAGAAAAGTTAAGTCATCACGTTTATAATAGAGCTTGGCTGTTAGATTACCATTAACGTCTTTTTCAAATAAAGTATCCAAATATGAAACAGATGTGTCAGACTCTGTGGTATCTTTTCTCTTAAGCTCACCTAGCTGCAGATCTGTATAGCTCTCTGAAAAAATATATTGATAGACCGGAGAGCTACAGAGCCACCCATTGAAAAAACTAGTTATATCTATATTTATTGCGCACAAAAGAGTGCACTCGATTCTCGATATATTTCTCCATGTTTTTAAAACTCTGATCTCAAAATATTACTAACCGTATGTTCCTAACATATTCTTTCGCTGTTTCCAAAACCAAACATTCCTCATAATTGTTGGTAATAGTCCTCCTGACCCTGATATTGTAATCATAGAACAGTTTAGGTATACTGCTATTTTGGTTTCAAAGATAATTCGGTCCAATATGCTTCGTTCAGATGTCCACTACGAGAGAACTTGATAGAGGAGAAAGATTTTTTTTTTAAATTTCGCTGTAATTGCAATTGAGGTAAGAATTTAATTAATTGGAAGAATTTATCAAGAACCGAGCGCAGTTTTTTGTGCGCAATAACTATACAGTTTTTTCAATGGGTGGCACTGTAGCTCTCTGGTCTATCAATATATTTTTTCGGAGAGCTACAGAACTGCAGCTAAAGCTCACCAGGATATATGGTATCAAAATTAGAATGGATAAAATTAAATTAAACGTATATTGAAATTTTGATGCTTATTTTGCAGTTGTTTGTGACAGTTCAGGTGGCCCATTTAGATATCTGTCTACCCCAGAGATATCGGAGCAGTGGTCATCATTGACAATCAACATCCGGATCAAAGAAACGTGAATCTCACGTGGCAGGAAGTACATCACAAAGAGTCATGGAAACCATTGTTGTATATCATAAAATGGGAAAACCCCACAGGTTTGAAACAGTTTCAATGAAAAAAAAATACTTAACTAATAAACTGATCAACTGTGCATGTAGCTTGGCAATAACCTAGTATTTGAAATTCACGACCTTATAAAATCTCAGTGTTTATTTTTTTTAATCTGTGCATCTACACGTTTTTCAAACATTTTAATGTTTCATTTTCTTTTATATCAACAGATAAGGTATTCTTTTTATAATCACACTGTTCCCGTCAATCAATTAATCAATCAATCAATTAATCAATCAATCAATCAATCAATCAACCAATCATTTATATTGTAACCTCTTTCATTGCCTTTTGATTAGATTCTGAAACAATAACAACAGAAACAGAAGTAAACTCAATACAAGTTCAAGGTCTCACCAAGGACAAAACATATATATTCTATGTCAAGGCCAAACAAGGTTGGTTGCTAAGCGATTGGAGCAGACCTCTTCACGTGACCACATCTACGCCACCTGTTGTCGAGAAAAGATATACTGATGGTAGGTAAACAAAGTCTGATAGATTCTTTGCTTCTGACACTCTGCATATTAGCTGTTTTTGATTTTCACAAATGAAAGACTTTTTGAAAATTCAAATTGTCTAGAAATCCACTTAAATTTGAATTGAGAATGAACTTTTTTTTTTTACAGATGACGATTCAAATTATCCAAAACCACGAGGTTTAAAAGTGAAATATCTCTCACCAACAAGTTTTAAACTAAAATGGCGGGAACCGAAAGATGCATCGAATCTCAAAGGTTACCGTGTGACCTGGAAGCGGAAAAAAGGTCAAACGAAAAAATCCGAACTTTTAACAAAACGCTCATATTCCATTAAAGGATTAAGAGTGGGATCTACGTATTTACTAAAAGTACAGGCTGTGTACGAGACAAAAGTTTCCAGAGCTTTAACGCTGTTTTGTAAGACGCAAAAGGATTTTGACGTCAGTCCGCCGACGAGTGTGAAGGCCAAAGCTGTAGGAACCACGGTAAGTGTAAAATTACAGTAAAATACGTTTATAACGAATACGAATAACACGAATACTTGATTTAAATGAAGGTCATTTTTTCACTGTTTACCTAACGTATTTACTCGATATGAAGAAAATATCTTTTAGAAAAAGAAATCATATTTCTCTTTTCCGATTTCAAAATCTAAATTAATGAAATAAGAAATGAACAATAATTATTACATGTGAAGAATCGACCTTGTTACAAGTAAAAAAATAATACTATAAATAATTATTATTATTTGAAAAAACTGTTTTATAAAGAAAATACGAGTGAGCTGGACACCTAAAAAGACAGAAGACAGTAAGATTGAAGGATATAAAATCCAGTACAAAAGACGAGGGGTACGGAGAGGGGATGTTTGCTCAGCCGTGGCCAGTTCCTGGAAATCTCAATACGTCATAACTGGTACGTCATTTGAACAATTTGATTTACGTCATCACAGATGTATATTTCCTTTACATAAATTCAAAGGGACGAGTACATATACAAAACACAAGTTAATACTAATTTAAAAAAATATAATATTGAAAACATTCAACATATTAAGATTTTTATATGCTATTTTACTTTTATGAAAGAATTTAATCAAACCAGTAAATAGAAAACATGTAGATAAAACAATCTTTCATCATATTCACTTTGTTACATGGATGACAATGTACTTCCATTTTTTATGCCTGTGAGCTTCAGATCCAATTTCTCACCAAAGGGCGCGGTTCGCAAAGCTATTGGAGCGGGGCTACAAAACGCCCTCTGGTGAGAGATTGCTTCATATCAGCGACCTACAAGTATCAAATAAATCAAAATTTAAGTATTATCTATAAAGGGGATTTTCAACAAAGTAATGATCAAATGGGTTTAATTTTTAGATTTGATAAAAGGAGAATCATACAAGATAAGGATAGCGGCGAGATCTAGATATACAACTGGAGCTTACTCACCATGGCGACTAGTTAAACTTCCGGGAGAACGAAATAGGCCTAATGACGAATCCATTAAAACTACTACTACTCTGCCGTCAACACGTAAGAAAAAAGTCTGGTTAAACTGATGAAGACTTCGTTAAGTAAAGTAAACCGTAAATTATGTCGTTAATAATTGATATTAAATAATATCGTCCCATGCATCAAATATTCAAATATTTTAAATTACTTACGAGTATTTAGAATTGTATTTTGTCCTTCGGAATTTAAGGAAGATTAACCTTTTGATAAGGGAAATAACTCTTACAGTATTTAATCATTTTAAAATAATTATTTATTAAAATTATATTGTCAAGTTCAAGGGTCATTTCTGTCTTTTTCGCAATGCAGTATATATAATTGGTCAAATAGCCCCTATTTTATGTTATGTATTAGTAATGCAAAGAATATAGTGTTTTGTTTATTTTTGGTGAAGCGAGTCCTGGAGAGCTTTTCAACCTCAGTGTTGTGCAGATTTCTGGTGGAGTAAACATTTCGTGGAATGATATTTCTAGTGAAGTTATTACCTATAGGGTGGAAATTACTCAAGGTATGATTTCAACAACAAAATATGGCAAAATATCGAAATCTCAGAGTACTGTCTTCCCACAAATTTTTATTAAAATAGAAAATTAGGTGTTTTCTATTTTAATAAAAATTTGTGAATCCAAAATTGTAATAAATTCAATAAATTTATATATTTTCATTATATTTAGTAAAATATGTATTTTGTTTAAGAAAAGAAACTCGTACATGTATAAGAAGAAAACAGATTCTTTGAATAATTAGTATTTAACAAAAAGTTATTTTATAAGAATTCAAATTTTTTTCCTTTTATTCAATATAAAACAGTTTTTGTAATGAAAAAAAGGACTTTCTTTTACAAATATTGGCATGTCCAGCTAATGGATTTCTATTGTATTTTGGTATTTACCTATGAGTTTTTAGAGTCAGATGTTCAATAAGCATGATAATCAAATAATTGCGTAATAGTGTTAATCTCTTTTGTGATTTTGTCTTTTTGTTAAGAAGGCCTAAGGGTCCTTGCCCAGGTGTTCAAGTTTACTCAATTACCGTGGCGGTCATTTTTATGTCACGTGATCACTCTGTTTTTAATTAATCATCTTTATTTGGAAAATTTTTACAACTTTCGGCTATTCATTAAGAAATTCTAAATTTTGAGGCTAAAATCCTGAATCCAAAGTGGAGGGCTTCAGCTTCGTTTTCAACTTTCAGGTATATTCAGTTATTAAAAATATATTATTTCTTTATTCTTTGGATTTTTACAGGTATGTAAATCATATAATTTTTAGTTAATTGCTTCATTTTCTATTAAAGCAATTCTTTTTATGCTCATAAATAAATTTTTAAAATATAATATTTTATTGATAAGTATTTTTAATTATTTCTTGATTCTAAATTTGATTGAATTATTTGATTTTATTGTTGCATATTTTATGCATACTCATTTAGTATTTGATTTATAGTTGTATGTTTTATTGTAATAAACGGGTTTAGCGACAGTCTCAAATAAATGTAGAAAAATTTAAATTTAGTTATATTCATGGCGCGCTCTTTAATGTAAGGAGGTAAAAATATTTGTGAAAAAAAAAGTAAACTGTAAAATGACTTTAGAGATTATACACAAGCTTTTGATTGTTATGATTACCTTTATATTTAAATGATTTTAGTTCGGACTAGTTTCCACTTCAATGATCTATGATTAAAGTTAAAAGAAAAGTGTAAAATAGATAATGTTTTATTTCCAAATTTTCTCTGTTTAGTAATTCATGCTACAAACATTAGTGGTTTAGATTTATATTATATCTATGCAAGTTTAGATTTTCAATTTACAGAGGGATTTTTCCTAAATTGTTATATTTGAAATTTTTAAAACATATTTTTATAATATTTTGAATTATATTTGTAACTGGTGACTGTTTGTTTATAAAATTATTTATACACTTTCATCGACGATTTCAAATAATAAACACCAGTAATTAAAAATATATTATTTCTTTATTCTTTGGATTTTTACAGCCACCGTAGGAAATCTGACCCCCACGTGTAGAGCGGTCCAAATAAGGAATAAAGTTAAACTTTCCCCAAGCGAGTGATTCCCCTAATAAATAAAATACAACACAAGTTCACGTGTAACCATAAATAAAAACGTGACAGTACATTATACATTATGTGAATCCGCATTTTTACCATATTTTTGTATAGTATTTAATTAATAATAGAAATTTTTTATCAAATTATAATGGCAGATTCCCATAAGCTGTATATCAGGGAGGTGTACAAAGAAATTTACCTTGACCCCTACGTCCTTGAGGTGTACAGCCTTGACCCCGGTGAGGAGTTCAATGTCACAGTACAAGGCGTTAGTTCCATAGAGAGAAGAATGTGGAGGGCTTCAGCCTCGTTTTCAACTCCAGGTATGTTGTATATTATCTAAATGTCAATATAGTCCATCGTTATAATTTGTGCATTCTGCGTAAAGAAATGCCTAATAATGTTTCTTATTAATATTTATTGTAAAACGCCGATTGAATTATTTGAAGTTAATTTCATACTATTTTATTTATAAATGGTGAGTATTTGCGTGAGAAAAATTTATAAAGTAAACTGACAAATATTTTGAATAAAATACATTGTATTATATTTAATAAAAAATGGGTTTTTTTTTAATTTTAGCGTTTTTGTCCTTTGTATTCCCCAGGACAAAAAATGGTTATCTGGCGTGATAATCCGTTATATTTGAAATTTTAAACTTTTAATTTTTGTTTTTATGAAGTCCCTGTGTCAGTTATAACGGAAGGACCACACGTGGCTGTGATTGGTGGAAATCTGACCATACGCTGTATCGTACAAGGAACGCCCCCTCCTCAGTTTGAATGGGTGATAGGACAAGGGTTTGTAGGTCTCTTTTAAATTTTGTATGATGAATGAAAGGCTCTGTAAATTACGGGTATGTAACGTCGAGGTTAACACGCCTAACTGAAAGTCCAAGGTTAACAGAGAACTGTACTAAATTAAATTTAGACATGCTTTAGAAGGATACATAATTAATGTTATTGCATGTTGTGTTACATGTGATATAATGTTATAGAATGGGAGAAAAATCATAAGGACGTCAGATGTTTATTTTGATAGCCCAAAATGATGTAAGGGCAGAAAACCGTTTTAAATTAATTATTTTTACGTTTTATCATTATTCATTTTTAGACTGATTATGAAGCCACAAAGTTTGAGGAAGATACTTTTGACAAATATTTGTCCCTACTTGAGCTTTACAATATTCCTGAGGACTTCCAGAGCCCCGTATGTAAAGCACAGAATGGCCTGGAATACATAGAAAAGGAACACAACATAACCGTTATTGGTATTGCATGTTACTTAAAATAGTAACCGTAACATCTATATACTTCAGTCCTTCTTTAGAAACATATTTGTTTAAAGTTTAACATGCAATAACCCTTTACATTCGAAAAAAAACCCTTTGGAAATGTTTTTGGATATGAAAAGCCATAACATATAACTCTTCGTATTTTTCACATGCTGTCTCAGCAAATTTTATAATATCTCGGAGCAATCGAGTTCGAAATAACACGTTTTGACTATTTAACAATTTTAAAAATCTTTTTTTAATAGACCCAATTCCACCTCCTGTTGTAAATGTAACGGCAGTAGCACTAACTTCTAGAAAAATTGAAGTGGAATGGAAAAGTCTGATCGAGCACGATTATCTAAATGTGACCTACTTAATAACGATAAAAGACACCCTCGGGAAATACCGAAGTGAAGAAGAAGCATCGGAAAGACACGTGTTCAGAAATCTAACAGAAAACACAGAGTACGTCATTTCCGTTATTGCAGTATCCCCTGAAGGATTACAATCCAGCGGAAATGACGTCATTTTTGTAAGGACAGAAAAAGCATTGCCAAAACCAACGCTTCACATTTTATCATGGAACGATACGGTACAAATACTTTTCTTTTACACATTTCTCGTACAACTTTAAAAGAAAACTATAAAAATGCTATAACAAACAGCGATTTTGTTTTAGTAAGGAATGCTTACTAAACTGTGATCACTTTCTAATATTATACTTTCATGTAAATTAGTTGAATCTGATTGGTCGAGAAACATTTGTTAGAAAACACTATTAACCGCTGAATAAAGAAGCCATGCTCTCCCGCGTAGCGACAGTCAACAGTGCTTGACGACGGGTGATATTAAAAAAAATAGCGAATGCGCAGAATTTATGCGCACATGGTTCACTGTTTTATGTTTTTGTATAAGACATTCAATATAATAAATTATAAAAAAAATATTTTATAGGCAATTGTTTTAAACTGGGCCTCAAATAGCGACACCCCACCAGGAATGGTGAAGGTTTACTACAAGAGAGAAAACGCCGGAGAATACCGTGTACGGAAGACCTATCCTCCAATATCAACAATGGTTTTACAAGGTGATGTATGGGAAATTACGTTTTTGTTTATTTAAAAAATAATTTAACAGCAAGCTGAAAGTAGATCTCATATTATAGCTTCTATCAAAGTCAGAGAATCAAAGATCTCTGAAAATGGCAAGAAGGAGTATATACACATTCCATACACTTGAAAATTCATTGTCCAACATTTTCATAATTCATTTCGTACAAGAGTTGTATATTTTACTAGTTAGGGGAATGTTGTAAAAATATTAAAGTAATATAGATTTCACTGTCTAATATTTTTTTCACAGATCTTCGGAAGAATTCAACCTATAAAATAAAAGTTGTCGCCGATTACGGAACGGAAGAAGTATCTTCTCATATTTTATCAGTGGACACAAATACAGCGGCCCTGCTTAAAGGTAATTAGAAAATACAGATATCGGTAGTTTGAAATTCACATAGACGACGCTTATTCTAGACTCGCTCCAAACAAATAAGCATTGCTGCATCAGACCGGTGCTAAAAATTGTCATTGGAAAAGTTTTGGACACTTTAACTTTTAAGACGTAATAAGATATTAAGGAGGCCGAGTCTAGTTATTTCTACCCTAGTATAGGGATTTTGATAATTTTGCGTTAGTTAATTTTTACTGTCATATTTATTGTTTTAACCCCCTTCCCCGCAGTTTGCATTTTAACGCATATACCATTTCCTAAAAAAATCACGCATATACCGTTTCCCCGCAATCACGCATTTTCACGCATTTTAAAAAGTTCATTTAATCTTAAATTTAATGGCAATTTCCTTCTATTTTATACTTGCAATAATCTTGAGAAACAAGAAAAGTTAATTTTGTATAAAAATATTACGTCATACTATTATTTGCGCTTTACTTTAGAGAAACGTGTACCACGCTAAAAATGCTTGCGGGGAAATGGTACATTTCTATTTCTATGACGTGAACATTAAGTGTATGTGGCATAACAGTTCAGTAAGTTGTAAAGAGTTAAGATTAAAAAAAATCACATGTTTACCAAGATTTCTTATGGGCCCATCTCAAATATTTGTCAAATTTTACTATTGAACCCTATGGGAAATTGTTGATTGAAATAGCGCTAAATTATCACATTTTTTCCATATTTTTGTATTTCTGTCCTAGAGGTGATTTCTGTTTCAGTGAAGTATATGAAAGTTATTGTAAAAAGTCACCAAATTGTGAAATTTGAAAAAAAAAAGGGTTACCATCTAGGTTGATCTAGGTCTTCATTACAAAGTTCATTTTTTCGATGAATAATATCTAGAGCTAAAATTGCCAAATTGGTTTTAAAAAATAGCAATATTTATATTGCTAGTATGTTTCTTTTGATGTTCTGTCATCAGTTTTCAGTATATGAACATCTACGAACATATAAGCGAGTCATGTGTCATTCTGCAGCGACGTGCATTGCTTACAAAATTGGAAAACAGTGACATCGTTAGACCCATTTCAGCGTTTTTTCCTAATCATTGTCGTAAAATCACATTTTCAGACCAGTAGGCGTTACAAATAATGTTAATTTTAAATCAAAGTCACAATATTCTGGAAAGGTGTACTGTCGCACTTAAAATGACTTTATGAAAAATAAAAAGCTGCGCAGAGTCATGCGCAATCGAATTAGACTCGGCCTCGTTAAGGCCATACTTATATTGCTTGTCAAAACATCACACAAAAGTCAAGAGTGTTGGTACATTGTCCTTATTATATTTTTGAAGCGAAATGATCAAACAGTAGTAAATGTAAATAAACTGTTGAAAAGCTCAATGAAATTATTACTTCATTAGAAAGGAGACATAAAAAATACTAGTAAGCCTAAGATGCCATACATGTATTTTTGTCTTTTTTTTCATTCAAAAGCGAGGGAGACGAAAATACATCTAATACACTATCATGATATTTTGATATTCTTAATAAATTAGCGATAACTTTATCTTCACATGCATGTTTAATCTCTAAAGACAGCTGTCAATCATTTGGAAATGGTACACTTATTTCAGAGAACAGGCGGCCCACGCCTCCTGCAGACGCCTTCCTGATGGTCAATAAGTCAGCGATGACCATTCGGTGGCTCCCGCCCCACCCGGAGTACCGCACCTACGTCAGACAGTACCGACTAGACATTTACCAGGGGGATATCTTACAGCGACACCTACTGGACAACAAGGGACGCAACTTTACACTGACTCAATTTGGTAAAAAATGTCAATCCGTCGTTTTTCATTTTATGGCATTTCATTTTTTCCTGAATAGCCAACAAACGTTAAACGTTTCAGTTAGATTAGAAACGCTTAGAACTGGCATAAGAGGTCTCACAATCTCATATTTGAAAGATACCGTAGGGGGAATTAATTAGTAACATAAACTTGTATCGATTTGAGGGAAGTTTTATTAATATTGATATGAACGTGAACAGCCTGTAGTCGGAACAATAATATTAAATTTATTTTTCAACGACATGATATACATAAAACGGAATTATCTTTCACGTGCATCAATTTTCTTTTCCATTGTACAATGAAACATATAGAGATAGCGAACAGTATTACAGCTCTTGAAAAAGTCCATTAAACAATACAAAAAAGGAGCAGGTCTAGAGCAAACACGGGCTCCGAAACATAAGAGGTGGGATCGGCTGCCATAGAGGAGTGAGCATCTCCTGCCGACCGAAAACTGATTTTGTTTATGATTGTACTGTCAAAGAAAAGATACATGTATAAAAGCCTTCATATATATTTCAGATGACACAAAAGAAGTAGCGGTTTACCTGACTGCTTTAAATAACGCAGGGGCGAGTGATCCAATCCTGAGAATTTATAAACCCCTAACAGGTAAAGGTAGTTTTTACAGGTATAATCTTTATTTGAAGAGAAACTCTTGTTACAAGTTAAAACGAAAACATGTAGTCATAATAAAATTTACCTCAAAAAAGTTTACAATAATTTTTTAAGAATCTTATATATTAGTGTTGCCTTTTGACATTTCAGAGAGTTAATAAGAATTTATGCTTTAGAATTATTTTTTCCTTAAATCACATCTTCTCATAAAAAATATACTTTCAGACGAAGAAAGACCCATGGGTGCTATAAGTAATTTGGAGGGGAAGCCCCTGTCCTCCAGTTCTATTCTCGTACAATGGGACCCTCCAACAAATAATCGTCTAACTCGCTTCCTCCTTCGATACCGACCACAAGAGTATGACGATTCGAACATTGTCGACTTATGGCTGGGGCCCTCTTATAATAACTATGTTTTAACCGATCTCCGTGGCGCGGAGTCCTATTCTATTTCCGTGATTCCCTATTTTAATGAGGAGGTCGGAAATGATTCGTCTATTGTTGTCAACACGTTTACAGGGGCACCCTCCGCTCCCCCGCAGAATCTTACCGTGACCAATGTAAATTACACGGTAAGAATCTTTTTATAGCAAATATAATGATATACAATGTTATCAATGTCAATAAAAACGATCGTTTTTAGTTGAATTTAATATGATATTTTTCAATAAAATTTGACTTTCAAATAAAGAAGAAACTTTGCAGAATATTTAAGAGATTTAGCATCAAATTAAAAAAAAATGAAAATAATGAAAGGAACTCATTTGATTCACTTCAAGGAAATAGCTTTAAAATGGAACCCTCCACCTGAAAGAGAGAGGAATGGGGAGATAACTCAGTATGTTGTTGGGTTCCGATCAGGTGACAAAACTAGGGACTCGATTCAGTATAGCAACAATACTGAAGTGGTCATTAGAGGTATGCCAAGTGTTTCCGCTCAAAGATTTATTATCCGCAACCAGTTATATTTACTGTATTATAATATGTGTTTTTTCTTTGAAATTTGAATTAAAATTTGTTTGAATTTTTTTGATGACCAAACTCTATTTTCCCCTCACAGATCTATTACCTGGTACGAGTTATTATATGAGGGTGGCTGCCTCGACCAGTAACGGAACTGGACCTTTTACAACATGGCTAACTCGTAAAACTATGGCACTTCCGGGTATTTTTTTTTCTGCATTTGCTTACCTTAATATTTAATATTTATTTTTTTTTATATTAAATGTTATTTAATATATTTCTATCCGAGTTCTATTCTTCTATGCAGTAATCAGAGAAGCTCCAAAGAGGCCAGAAAATTTTACGACAAAACAAGTGCGTTATGGGATTACGTTAGATTGGAAAAGACCGAAGAATCCCGATGTTCCTGTTAATGGTTATATCATAGGATATGGAAGGTTCATTCCCGAGGTGTACCGAGAAATCCTTGATTCAAGCAAAACCCAGTACACTATTCACAAACTCCGTAAGAACAAAAAAATGTAGATTGAAAAGTAATTTTGACTGTATTTTCATTTTCGATGGTTAATTCTTTTATCATTGAACCTAAAACAAATAAAATCCTTTTATGTAAAACAATGGTTTACATTCAGGTCAAAACCACGACTATATTGTCAGTGTTCGAGCCTTCAACAGTTTCGGTGAAAGTGACCCCGTGATTGCTGTTGCAACGGCAGGTAATATAAAACAAGGAATTCTACATGTAGAAATAACAGTAGATTTGTGATCACATTTGAAGGAGGGCAAGTTATTTTTAAAAAGTTAAATAAAATCAGAAACTCTTGAAGTTATATTAATTTTCTCAAAATAAATTTTTCATAAAGACTTCCGAAAACGAAGACACTTAACTGCTCCTTTCTGAGCTAAAACCGTCAGTGCACATAAAGTACTTGCACCTACGTACATGTATGCATTCCAGAAACTCAAAAGCATATACCATGTAATGACTGTATATATTGTTAAGTGTCTTAGTACCTGCAATCTAAATCTACATATTCTGAATTTATTTTTTGGTCATCAGGTGACGGAAAGATGACCATCGTGTCCTCGGGAGACATTGATGATGATGGAAATGAGGACATATTTGGTAAATATTTTTTAAAAGAATCCATGAAAATCATATGTATGATATTTCATTAAAGATAAAATGATTGATAGCTGCTTAACGTTCCGTTCGACTCATTGTTTACTCTTGTAGAGAAATCATAGAATAAGACAGAAAAAATTCAATATAAAGAAAGATTCATTATTTTTCTTTTTCAGAGAATTTAAAAGTCTCTTTAAAAGACTTATATTTATATTTTTCTTTTTCAGAGAATTTAAAAGTTACGGTTATGTGTACAGTGTTTAATAGTAAAATATTTGACAGTATTTCTCCACTTTTACTAAAAAGTAAGCTTTTTTCTCATTTAATTGTTATTTATATAAATTATTCAGACGATGCTCCAAGGAATGTGAGTCTGGAACTGAATTATGGGGATATTCCAACTATTAACGTCAGATGGACTCCCCCACCCCAAACACAGGGACCAGCATTGGGTATGATTCAATTTGGTTTTTTTTGTATTATTATTTATGATTTTGGGACAAATATGATTTAATTTTTTTAATTGGTAATTTTAAGAAATTCAGTTAAACAATTGCACGTAAAACCTTGAAGTATCTTTATCTTTTATAGGATACAACGTATTTTATAAGAAAAAACAAGACAAGAAATGGCGGTTGAAATTTGTGGACAGAGCCGCTTTTCTAATTTTGAAGAACCTCTCCTTTGATACGACGTATTACGTCAAAGTCAATGTGCGATACGAGAATGACATCAGAAGCAAATTTTCACACACAGTGGAGATCAAAACATTTTCATTAGGTTTGTAGAATGAAACTTTTTCTTCAAATTGTGAGTAAGGAAGAAAGTATTTTGGATATTTATTGAAAGGTATTTTTTAATCATTAATCATGGAAAAACCGTGTAATCTTTCTAATCACAAAAAGTCGACATGTGCAGCAGTGGTATGAGTGTCTGCTCTAGAATCAAGAAGTTACGGCGCGGGTTCGAATCCCAGTGTGGGACGTGGAGACACGGTTCCCGGATGTGACCGCATAAATATTGAGGTTTCGTGTCTCAGTAGGTTTAGACACGAAAAAGATCCCTCACTGCTCAATTCTCAAGCATAAATCAAGTTTTGCAGGTTTCCACCGGCAAGTGGTGGCTTTGGCATCTTTATATGAGTGACAAAGTCTCGAGGGGGACTTCAAACAGTAAACAAACATAAACTCTGGAAAAAGTCGATCATTGCACCCTTAGATGTGGCACAGCAGTTTTTTTTTTCATTCTTATTTTTTGAGAGAGAGCCAGAGAAAAGGAGAGGACGATTGAGAGATTCTGAGATTAAATTAATATGCAGAACAAACGCGCATATTAAAACTGATAACACATTAAAAAAAACTCATTTGTTCCTTTTCTTTCTTATAGAAGACACGGCCCATGCGTTACCTACACCTAGTATTACATCTGTATTCTCAGGAAAGAATTATCTGGATGTTAACTGGAAACCACCCCTTAAAGACTACCTTCACGTGATTGTGGGATTTATCCTAGGTACGTATAATTGTATATACTGTAAATAACATATTTTCATTTTGTCAAATTTTCTTGGTTTGATGAAAAATACTTGGTCCATGGGGATTTGATTTTTTATGAATGAAAAATTGTTTAGTACAGTTGTGAATTTTACATTTTACATTGGTGGGCATCTCTTCGTGCCTTGTACACATGTTGTAAACAAAGAAAATTAACCCCTACGGAAATTTCAGAATTTACAGTTCCATGCACATGTTTATCAAAGGGCAATGCCACAAAAACGTCACCCTTTTTCCAACCCAACATAAACAAATAAACATGGTATAGATACAATTTAATAATATTAAAACGACTGAAATTTCCTATCCTTCTTATGTTCTCGATGAAATATGTTCAAAAGTGTATTACTTTTGTTTTACATGAATTTGAATTCTAAATTATGAAAAAATTATAAAAAAAAGTTCATCGAAGTCGAATGTGAGTGTATTTCTGAGCACACAATAGTTGTGTTTAATTAAACAACCTAAACATATAGAAATTTGTAGTACAAGCAGCAAATATCTCCAGAAAAAATAGAGCAAAACATTGAAACATCTCAAAATTAATGGAAGTAAAGGCAATTAAGTTTATTTGATTTGAATTTTTACTTTCAATCACTGTGCTTTCATTGTCTTTCCTTAGGATTTGGGATTAAAGAATCAAATGAAAACCAAGAATTCATTCCTGCGAGTCAGAGGACTTTTAGAATAAAAAATCTAGGTAAGGTGCAGTTTAAATTTCATTAGGTGTTTGGTTTATTAAAAAATCTGTCTGGTCTTTTTTAAAATATTTTAATATTACTTGTTAATGTTTTCATAATTTTACCTTGTAGAACGGTTCATTTTAAATATTTGATAAGTTTTTGCACATTGACTAAGTACTACAAGAAACAATTAACTTTTCATACCAATAGCAAAATTTTTACACACGTCTTACAAAGTTGTCAGGTTCAATTTTAAGGACAGATGATACAAACAAACTTTTATCAAAGAATTTGAAAATAACAACTTGGGTCATGTTTAAATGAGTAAAATGAATAATTTTCACCGCGTAGTAACTGTTTTTAATTTTTTATTCAAATTTGCACAAAAATGGAATTTGAAGTGAAAAATATTTTTATAGAATAATGAGGATGGTTTCAGAACGGCATACTTTTGAACATCGCAGAAGGTTTACAATTTCTTTATTTTCTAGAAATTTATTATTTGCATCATTTGCAATGAAATTAGGCCAAAAAATATATACCAACCCAGGCATCCATTTTTAGCTCACCTGAGCCGAAGGCTCAAGTGAGCTTTTCTGATCAAAATTTGTCCGTTGTCTGTTGTCGTCGTTGTCGTCGTCGTCGTAAACTTTTCACATTTTCATCTTCTTCTCAAGAACCACTGGGCCAATTTCAACCAAACTTGTTACAAAGTATCCTTGGGTAAAGGGGATTCAAGTTTGTTCAAATGAAGGGCCATGCCCTTTTCCAAGGGGAGATAATTATGAATTGGAGAAAAATTAATGGCATTTTTAAAAAATCTTCTTCTCAAGAACCAGTGGGCCAGGAAAGATGAAACTCATGTGGAATCATGTGGTAGTGTAGATTCAAGTTTGTTCAAATCATGACCCCCGGGGCTAGGGTGGGGCCAAAATGGCCGACCAAAGTTTTACATAGGAGTATATAGGAAAAATCTTTAAAAATCTTTTTCTCAAGAACCACTGGGCCAGGAAAGATGAAATCCGTATGGAATCATCCTCAGGTAGTGTAGATTCAAGTTTGTTCAAATCATGACCCCCGGGGTTAGGGTGGGGCCAATATGGCCGACCAAAGTTTTACATAGGAGTATATAGGAAATATCTTTAAAAATATTCTTCTCTAGAATTACTGGGCCAGGACAATTGAAACTCATGTGGAATCATCCTCAGGTAGTGTAGATTTTTTGTTTCAAATCATGACCCATTGGGGTAGGGTGGGGCCAAAATGGCTGATCAAAGTTTTACATAGGAATATAAAAATCTTTTTCTTAAGAACCATTGAGACAGAAAAAATGAAACTCATGTGAAATAATCCTCAGGTAGTGTAGATTCAAATTTGTTCAAATCATGACCCCCGGGGCTAGGGTGGGGCCAAAATGGACGACCAAAGTTTTACATAGGAGTATATAGGAAATATCTTTAAAAATCTTCTTCTCAAGAACCACTAGGCCAGGACAGATGAAACTCATGTGGAATCATCCTCAGGTAGTGTAGATTCAAGTTTGTTCAAATCATGACCTCCTGGGTAGGGTGGGCCAAAATGGCTGATCAATGTTTTACATAGGAATATATAGGAAAAATCTTTAAAGATCTTCTTCTCAAGAACCATTGAGACAGGAAAGATGAAACTCATGTGAAATAATATTCAGGTAGTTAAATTCAGATTTGTTCAAATTATGACCCCCGGGAGTTAGGGTGGGGCAAAAATGGCCAACCAAAGTTTTACGTAGGAATATATATAGGGAAAACTTTTAAAATATTCTTTTCAAGTACTTCAAAGCCATGATTAGTGATATTTATATGGAATCATCCTCGGGTAGTGTAGATTCTAGTTTGTTTAAATCATGACCCCCTGGGGGATTAAAATTCAAGCCCCCCCCCCCCTCAGTAAACTTTCAGTTCTGATCAGATATGTGCTTTTTCCTAGCTGATGTGCTCAAGTGAGCGCTGTGGCCCCTGGGCCTCTTGTTTGTTTGTATCATCTGTCCTTAAAGAAGATAGAATATTTCTGATCTCATCAGTAAATCTCTTCAGGTAACAACTTTCAAATGATATTTTTAAAAGGAAATATGCTGTTTTTCAGAACCAGGAACTCGATACAACATCTCCCTTGCAATGTTTAATGAGCACGGAAAAAGCGCCAAGTCCATTGTCTATGCTTCAACTCTGAGTAAGATCTGACCTACATGTATCTATGATAAAATTATTTAAACATTACCATACTATTCATAATTAAAATGAAATCAAACTTATTAGAAATTTAATTTTTAAGCAGTCTTAATAAACACTTCTCCGTAAAGGAAAAGAAGATACAAGTACTTAATTACATCTTATCACACAAAAATTAAGTAACCAATAACTACATACAGGTACATCCTGTAATCTTTTACACAAATATATATTGCTAACTATACAATTGATCTTTTTACAGATTCGGATTCATAAGAAAAGGAAAACATGACAGTGATTGAATTTGAATTCCTGGAATAAGACAAGAGTTTTCATGCTTTATTCAATCATTTTATCATTGCTTTATATGTTCATATTGAACTGTTGCTTTTTCAAGCTATGTCAAACCAAAACATTGAGCAGTGTAGACTGAACAAACTTTAGTTTTATGCCTTGAACTTGGCAAGAAATATCAGAAAGAAATTACCTGCTTTTGATTTAAAAACAATATATAATTTATGTAAAAAATGTTTTGCAGAAATAAGTATTGGCTGGGTATAATAAACTACGGGTACAATGACACAAGAAAGCGGCCACATTTTAAGGATTTCATATATAGTGTTTTGATTTAACCAATAAATATGATGGACATATTGGGGATGTAAAATGTGATATAAAGACAATATTGGATGTCTATGGACATTATGGGATGAAAGACAAAACTGGATGTTTAACATGATTTGCAATGTATCAGATATTTTGTATTATAATATATATTACAATTTAACTTTTTTTTTCATTCAAAAAAGATATGGCCAAATTGCCATTAGTATTAAATTAATAAATATGGAAAATGAAAGTTAGCGTGCATATTGTTCTTCAAAAATTGAAAAAAGGTTTTTTTTTATCACGTATTAAAAACGGAGAATGCAAATTAAAAATATCCAATTTAAATTCAAAATATTGTACAGTACCAAGTAAATGAAAAAGAATTATACAAAATTATGAAGTTATGGAATAAAAACTATTTAATACATTTTGAAAATTACACTATTTGTAAATTTGGCAGAGATAGAATATTGCAATGTTTGACATGCCACTTAGCATCAAGTTAGTCAATTTCCATGATTGAAAGTATATCATAACTAAAGAGTGTATAGAACAATTTGCCATCCAGTCAATGTTTTTGTGCATTTTTTTTTCAAATTAAGAACAAAAAAAAATTTCATTAACCCTCACTTTCTTGTTGAGCAGAGCTGTTTTTTCGATCATCAAGTACATACTTTTTACATGTATGTATCTATTTGTACTTTTCATATTCAGTCAGTTGCTCCTTTTAAACTTGAGAATTTCTTCCATAGAAAGAAAAATTCGTGACAAGTATTGATTTTTATTACGCCAAGATTTCTTTAAACGTTGGACATTTAAAGAAGTCTAGCTGTGCACTTTGGCGACATTTTGCAATTAAACCTACCTCATACATATCTCAAAACTAGGTAAGGTACTGTTTGTTTTTACCTTGCAAATTATATCGTCTAATATTTTGAATTTTATTAGCACACTGTAAGAATTATACATGTAATTTGCTGTTAATATGGTAATGTACATTTAGCAAGATCAGTGAATAAAAAAACGTGTCTATTTGCATCAAATTTTTCCTTTAAACAACATAAAAAGATTAAAAATCATTATTATTCATTTTAGTCACAACAAAGTTACTGAAGAATTTCTAATAGTATTTGAAATGAAACTTGAGATGTTATGATACGGTTCACTGCATCCAAAATATAAACACTATAGGCAGCGAAGAACATAATGAAAACTGTGATTCTCGACCAAAGCGACATACAAAAAAATACCATGATTTAGAGCAATGGCAGAAATTAAATCCTACGACGGAATAGTCACGTTTCTTACAGGACCTATTCTTTATGCGTGTTGCTGTTTCAGCAAAAAATCTGATGCACAGGCATCTCTTGCATCGTTGCCTAGAAGTTACTCGATTTTTCCTGAATGGATTTTGGAAGAGGGCCATCTAGTTCTACTCCTTTTCTTCTTAATCACTTCTTCAAAATTATTTATGTCTTGGAAATGGATATTATGTTTTAAAACAGAAAGGACCATATATAAAACGGTTTTTGTGTATTTCCCCGCCCAACAGTTATTTTTGATCATGGTGTTTATTACTATTGAAGAACATCGAAAAGAATCTTTTACTTGTGGGGTTATATTATGGCATTGTAAGGATGATATCTTTCTGTTCTTCCAACAATGTATAGAGTTTATATTTCGGAGACTGGTGCAGTTTTACAAATGTAATGTCAAGTTTGAAATTAATGTCCATACTCTCACTTCTATTATGGAAGTATTTCTGTTGTGTATTCTGGCAATAGCTTTAGTTAATTCTTTACCTATGCATTATAATGCCTGGCCATACCTTATTCGAAGCTACAGCAAAGGATTGAAATCAACTGCCACTATACATGATGGTAGTGCTTTTAAAAATGGTTCATTTGATTCTGCTGAACAAATGCTGAGTAAGACTTGGGCAACTGATGCCACATTTAATATGACACATGCACAGAGACAGATTTATTCCAGAAGTATTAGTGAAATGGTTAGCTTCCAATGCACTAGTGCTTATTGGTTAAGTATCTGGAACAAAAATGAGAGACATTACATATCATGAATGAAAGATGGAAAAGAGATCACAGATTCCAAAAGATATCATATAGAACAGACGGTTGCACAAGAGACGCAAGTGATTCAAAGCCTCCTTCAAATTAGCTATGTTGTAAATGATGACATAGGTGAATATCGGTGCCTACAAACAACTGAAATACACAGGACACCATTTAATTATTCCTACCAAGAATTGCCTCAACATCAGAAAATGCTGAAAACGTTTTATTTAAAATTGGATACAGAAAAGACGAGAGTCCTTTATGCTCCTCTTGGAAACATGTTATCTATTTATTGGCCATTGCTGCATGTCCAGGAAAATTCATAAGTTATTTTTTATCATGATATCAATGGCAAGCCGTTTTCATTCATTGAGGAAACTTTGAAATACCCTCAAAGTACATGTTCTCTGAACAGCTGGTTGCATTATTTGTATTCTGAAAAAATTGAAACTCAGTCGGAATTCTATAAATCTCGGTCCGAACAAAAGTTCATGTTTTCGACATTGTGTGCACAAGGAGGAATTTTCGGTTTTCATTCACTTGAGTATAGCATTGATCTCTTTAACGAAACTGAAAGAAAAAATGTACTTGAAATACATGGACATCCTGTCATTGTTTTACCTAGTGATAAATATCAAGATTTTCACATAGAAGATATAAAGAATGATACAGAGTTTCTGCTAAGGCATTTTGAAATATTAGACACCGTTTACTGGTATGAACTTTAGGAAAAAGCTTTATTTTATGTCCAGTTTTCTCGATATTTGGTCACTCTACGCGATGTTTCTAAGTTCATCCTTTTGATCATTAATATTTTATTATTTTCGTTTTTTTGTTATGTATGCCTTTCTGTTTTTGGGCATTTTTTACATATGTTAATTGTGTAGATTTAGAAAAACATAAATGCTTTATATTTTGTTCATCAGAAGATAGAGAAGAGATTATGGACTTGATAAATCAGTTGAGATATTTCAAGGTCAATGTTGGCTTCAATAAGGAAGCAGATGACATCAATCGAATAGGCAGAACAAGATTTGATAATATACGTGAGATATTGAATAACTATGATCATATCATTGTTTATTTATCAAACAGTTATTGCAGTGATGTTCTTGAGTTAGATCTTCTATATTTTATCATTTTAAATAATCCTTCAAAAAATTATTTGACCCTTATCAATAATTAAAGAACAATGCGTGGGTCATTAAAAAACATCAGGCAAAGCTTCAATCTTGTTTGTCGATCAACATGATCAACAACCACGTTAAGTATAAATTCACTTCTTATGGTTATTTCGAACATTGAGGTTGAAAAAATGAAGCAAGCTTCGCAGAACGGTGTGAATATAACTACAGCATTCATTTGAAAATTCCCTTTGTTCTTTAATTTATGTGATGACTTTCAAATGAAATCTTTCAAATGTTTATGCTTTACAAAGACCCGTTATTGCAGTTATCTCTGAAAAATTCTTTTTCAGTGTGTATTTTATTTAGTTTTTTTTTTTTTTTTTTTTTTTTTTATAGATTTATTTTAAGAAATAAAAATGTATCAGTTTTATGTTGTTGTATTTTTTAGCTTCGATATTTTTATATACTCGGTGTAAAAAGATTGTAATCTAACAATAAAATCAATGAAAGATCCAAAATTTGAGAAGAAAATACTTGAAATTCAACAGGCTTGACATTTAAAGGAAACCTAATTAAGTAATAACATTTTTCCCTATTTCACCTAAAAAAAATCACAGATGTAGCACATGCATATACCCTTATTTATCCAACTTTTATTTACAAAATGTTTCTTGTATTTAATATATATATATATATATATATATATATATATATATATATATATATATATATATATATATATATGTAGTGCACATTAATAAATCGTATATATGTTTTAGAACTAATAAGCAAATCAATCATGTTGACAGAAATCAAATAATCAATATATATTTAAACACTTCAGCATATGAACCTTTTAAAAAAAATGGCACAAAAATAACTTGCATTGAAAATAAATATTTTAATAATGTAAACTAGCAATCATTAATACACATTCATATAACATGAAATAGAATAAAATTACAATTCAAATATGAATCAATTCATGTAGCACTGGGGAATATAAGACATATTTGTACATATAGTTTTTTTGCAAAGCATGGTAGACGGTTCCGTTTAATGGGCTTTATTTATCACAATTTTTCTTTTCACTACCAATAACAAAATGTTTGATATGTCACTTCGTAAAACAAACAATCAGAAAATTTACATCAGATTCAGTCAAAATATAACCTGCTTGGGATGAAAAAAATATCATCCCAACATTTTATTTCGCTATAAAATCTATTACTCAGTATTTCTCTTAATAAATGTGTCCCTGTCTGTCTCAGTACTATCTCTATCATCTTATAAGTTATACATTCATGACTGTAATTTACAGAGACTGAAACCAATAAATAATGTCTTTAATTGTCAATTTTTCAAAACATTTCAAAACAATCGCTAGATTCTTTTATGCCTCATTAGACCACGTTTAAAATAACGATTGTTTGTCCTCTCCCGACTCAGGGTAAAACTATTGGGTTGGTAGGTGGGAAAATCTTTTTTTCAGAAAATTTCAACAAATTTATTGGCGGGATAAGAGGAAGTAAAATGACAACAAAAATATCTCGTGTCTTGCAATGTAAAAAAAAAGTATCACGTCGGGTCATTCTTAGTCCGTAGGTCTAGACAGGGCAACCAATTTCTTTTTTTAAAGATGGTCAAAAAGTCATCTTTTTTATCTCTATTAATTAACATATCATTTGCCACCAGCCAAAAATAATCTTGCTAGGGGTGATCAAGTAATAAAAAAATGCGTCAATTTAATATGTTTAAAATCTAACATATCTCTCACTAAATATCTGTTTATAGAGAACTGTTCAGTTGTTTCTTGAATAAATACTGTGCTATATGCCATTCGTTCCCGCCATCATAACCAAACACCTCAGAACAGAAGATAAAGAACAATCTCCAGTTAAATATCTGTTTGTCCGCCTCCTGTCCGTATGTCTGTGTGAAAATTCGCTTCACTTTGTCCATCTGTCTGTCCATGGTGGCTAACCAGGCCTCTAGGGTTTTACTATAATTACAACCATTGATTAACCACTCATCCTCTAGGTAAACATCTCTCTGGAAAGAAATTCCAAATATTTTTTTATTTAACTTACATAATAAAATATATTTAAATATATTTAATTTTATTTATTATTTTAAATTCAAGGTCTCTGATACTAATCAGTAACAGAAATTTGATATATACAAATTTCGTCGCCATTGATTTTTTTTTTTTTTTTTTTTTTTTTTTGTATTTTGAAATTTTAAGTACTTCCAAAACCATTTACAATTACAATAAAGTTACGATAAAAGATGAACTGTATAATTCAAAGCTAAATTGAAGAAAAATCTTTAGGAGGAAAGCAGTCTTGAAAATATGTTAGCATTGCAAAAATGATTTTGAATACTAGTCAAGTTTCAACAATGCTTACGTTGAATATAAATTCAGTAGAAGACCTAAATGTTTAAAATACAAGGGTGGATAACTCTAAAAACAAAATCTACAAAGGAATTGGTACTTTTAAATGCGCAGTGTAAAGGAGATCCTTGAAGACAGTTTACCTGGAAGTAGTGGAAAAGGTCAACAGAAGGCATTGTCCCTCCGGTAAAGAAGTTCTTGGCCATCCACTCTGTGTCAGAGCCAGGCTTGGTGTCAAAGGAGTAGGGGAAGTAGCGGTGACAGAGGACCTGGATAAATAACCTCCCCGAGGGCTTAAGCCAGGAGGACACACGCTGAAACAGGACGGAGTAGTTCTTCATGTGCTGAAAAAAAATAGTTCTTCATGTGCTGGAATAAGAATTACCAAAATAACGAAGTGTTGTACTCTTATATAGTACACAGGAAAACTATGGAACAGGACTGAGTGGTTCTTCGTGTCCTGGAAGAAAAATTACCAAAAATAACGAAGTGTTGTACTCTTATATAGTACACAGGAAAACGATGAAACAGGACGGAATAAGTTCTTCGTGTGCTGGAAGAAAAAAATTACCTAGATAAATCAGTTTAAAAAGTTATATACATGTACTAGACAAGGAGCATGTTGAAACAGGATGGAGGAGTTCTTCATGTGCTGGATGAAGAAAAAAATCTCGATGAATCAGTATTGCTTTCTTATAAGCCTAAGGTTAGACAAGGGAATCATTGGAGTTATGTGCAGGAAGAAGAAATACCATCCAGATCAAGTTTACAAGTCTTATAATAATAGACAATGAAATGGCTGGAGCAGGACTTAAAGTTTATCTTGTGCTGGAAGAAGAAAAATATCAAGATAAATCATTTTAAAATTCTTATTGGCCTAAGAGTAGACAAGGGAATTTCTTCACGTGCTGACAAAAATAAATATGAACGAAATATGACAATATTTATTCTTATATAGTAGACATACAATTTGCTGGAACAGGACGTTGGAGTTCTCCATGTGCTGGAAGAAGTAATATCAACCAGATCAAGTTTAAAAGACTGATATAATAGACAAAAAAATGATTGTTTTTCTTAATGTGCTGAAATAAAAGATACCAGATAACATAGTGCTGTACTCTTATAAAGTTGACAGAACACTCGGTGAAACAGGAATTTTAGGAGTAGTACCTGTGCTATTAAAATATTTTTTTAATAATAGAGATAATTTCAAACATTTATATGACAGACGTTTAATTGAAAAAAAAAAAAAATTATCAATTTGCATATTAGAATTCTTGTTAATGTAGTAATTATAGCAAGTCATTGAGTGAACATGTGTAATCCTAATTGTCTCTTTCAATACTAAGAGTTACTGACTTGATGCATACTTAAGAGTCATTCTCTGTAAGCATCAAAATGGGCTGGAAATCGATTTTCACAGATTTTGCTGAAATTTGGGGAAATAATTACATTATAAGCCCGATTTACAAAAATATCATTAAAAGTGATCAATTGGTCTTGTTTCCATGGCAACCAGGTTACCTGTTTTTGCACATAGGTGGTAAATACCTAAAATGATATTTCTTCCCATTAATGCACATTTAATTAGATAAAGATAATTATTGTTAGCTTTTCCTTTGAAATAATTTGTAATTTGTATTTTCTATACAAAAAACTTGAAAAAATTTTTTTGGACCTGTCGTTAAATGCCAAATAACATAAAAAATTGCCTTAAAAAAGGGGGGTTGAACATAACAATGAACACAAAAAACGCAGACACTGGTGGAATATTCTGATGCTCTGAATTTCATCTTATACATTTATGAAGAACATATGAAACAAGCAAATTCAAAGAATTGTGGTCCCCCGCTTTCGGTGTTTTTGTGGGCGAAATATTATTTTTTAGGTTCAAGGTCAAAAGGTCCAAGTTATTGGTATCACATGTAAAGTCTTGCCACAAAGAATATAAATATTTAAAATATGATAGTCCTAGTTTGTACCGTTCAAAAGTTGTGACCAAGGTTAAAGTTTTTAAAAAGTAGTTTAAACTCCAAGGTCAAGGTCAAAGGGTCAAAGTTCTTGGTATGCAATGAAAGGCCTTCTCACAGGGATTACATACGTGAAGTACGAAAGCCCTAGCTCTTACCGTTTAAAAGTTATGGTCAAGGTTAAAGTTTTTCAGAAGTACGTAAATCTCTAAGGTCAAGGTTAAAAGGTCAAAGTTGTTGGTATCCAATGAAAGGTCTTGCCACAAAGAATACATAAGTGAAATATAAAAGTCCTTGAATCTACTGTTCAAAAGTTGTGACCAATGTTATAATTCTTAAAAAGTAGTTAGAACTCCAAGGTCAAGGTCAAAAGGACAAAGTTCTTGGTATCCAAATGAAAGGTCTTTTTACAAGAATAACTTATGTGAAGTATAAAAGCCATAGCCCTTACCGTTCAAAAATTATGGTCAAGGTTATAGTTTTTTCATAAGTACGTAAGATTTCCAAGGTCAAGGTCAAAAGGTCAATGTTGTTGGTATCCAATGAAAGGTCTTGTCCCAAAGAATAAATATTTGAAATATGAAAGTCCTAGTACCTACCATTCAAAAGTTATGGCCAAAGTAAATGTTTGGAAATTTTGAGTAAAAGTTGGTCAAACTCCAAGGTCAAGGTCAAAAGGTCAAATTTGGTGGTACCCAAAGAAAGGTCTTATCACAAGGAATACACATATGAAATATGAAAATCATAGCTCCAGTAAATCAAAAGTTATGGGCAAGGTTAAAGTTTTTGTGACGGACAGACTGACGGACAGACGGACAGCTAGACGGACGGACGGACAGACGAATGAGATTTAATGTCCCCTCGCTTTCGCGAAAGCGGGGGACAAAAACTGGAGTGGTAATATTTACTTTAAGAAAATAAATTCATTGTAAAGTTTGTAAAAATCTCTAAATTTACACATTTTTGTCAAGAGTTATTTCCCTTTTCGGAAATCTTTTGCTTTAATCGATGAAAATGAAAGTGAAAGTACACAGCAGAAACAACTTTGAGGAGTAAATACCGTCTGTTTTGGATATTTTCAGGGGTTTTAATCCAACTTGTGAAGTCTTTATAATTAACCATAGTTAAATGATTGTTCAGGCTTTACTGTGTCTGAGAGATATACATGTTTGTGTATAGATGTGATAGATAAACTTAAAAATGGATTGCATCCTATGAAATTCCTGCCTATGTGACAAGTGCTGCATCAATGAAAAAAGTTTAAAAAAAAAAGTAGGTATCGTCAGTTAAATGGACTTCAGCACTAAGGGTGGGATAATAAGGTTGTGATGAAGAAATATACATGACAATAAGAAGCACTAGGTAAGTACCAATGAAATATTTACTACGTACATAGAAAGTTACACATATTTTGTACGAGTTTATTAATAATAGGGCATGACTATTTATTATAAAAATAACTTTAAAGTACCCAAAGCATAAATAATGACATGATTCTAATTATATCATTAATAGTTTAGGCATATTATCAATCTTATTAAAATCAGATGTTGATGAAAATTATATGAACCATCTGTCAGGCCATCCTTTAAAAATTGTTTGTTTGGAATTGCCGCCTGATGGGTTTCAGACACAGGAGGGAGGGAAATCATTTTTTTTTTAATTGAAAATTTTTGATAATATCAGTAAACAGCCAATACATTTTCTGATTTTTAGCTCTACTGGTCAGAGACCAGAAGAGCTTATGCGATAGTAATGCGTCCGTCGTCCGTCCGTCTGTCTAGCTGTCTGTCTGTCCGTCTGTCTGTCTGTCTGTCTGTAAACAATTTTTCAAAATGCTACTCCTCCTACAGTTTTGGTCCAATTTCAATATATGACAATATATATGACAAAAATAGAAATTTCTGTGAAATTCTTTCAAAATGCTACTCCTCCTACAGTTTTAGTCTGATTACAATATAACTTGGCACACAAGTAGACTACACTAAGATACACAATTCTGTGTATCGGTTTCTGATTTCGATGAACGGTGTTGCCGTGGTTACTAAAAATAGAAATTTCTGTGAAATTCTTTCAAAATGCTACTCCTTCTACAGTTTTAGTCTGATTACAATATAACTTGGCACACAAGTAGACTACACTAAGATACATAATTCTGTCTATCAGTTTTTGATTTCGATGAACGGTGTTGCCGTGGTTACTAAAAATAGAAATTTCTGTGAAATTCTTTCAAAATGCTACTCCTTCTACAGTTTTAGTCTGATTTCAATACAATTTGGTTCACAAGTAGACTACAATAAGATACATAATTCTGTGTATCAGTTTTTGATTTCGATGAACGGTGTTGCCGTGGTTACTAAAAATAGAAATTTCTGTGAAATTCTTTCAAAATGCTACTCCTTCTACAGTTTTAGTCTGATTTCAATATAACTTGGCACACAAGTAGACTACACTAAGATACATAATTCTGTTTATTGGTTTTTGATTTCGATGAACGGTGTTGCCGTGGTTACTAAAAATAGAAATTTCTGTGAAATTCTTTCAAAATGCTACTCCTCCTACAGTTTTAGTCTGATTTCAATATAACTTGGCACACAAGTAGACTACACTAAGATACACAATTTTATGTATCGGTTTTTGATTTCGATGAACGGTGTTGCCGTGGTTACTAAAAATAGAAATTTCTGTGAAATTCTTTCAAAATGCTACTCCTTCTACAGTTTTAGTCTGATTTCAATATAACTTGGCACACAAGTAGACTACAGTAAGATACATAATTCTGTGTAGCGGTTTTTGATTTCGATGAACGGTGTTGCCGTGGTTACTAATAATAGAAATTTCTGTGAAATTCTTTCAAAATGCTACTCCAAATACAATTTTAGTCTGATTATAATATAAATGTTGCATGCAAGTAGACTGCACTAAGAACATAAAGAGACTTAATCAAGGATAATTATTCTATCTATCTGTTGAAAAGTTTCAATTTCCAACTGCTTAAGTACTTTTCTCTTCCTTTGCTATAAGTACAAACCAGTAGAGCTTCAGTCTCGACAGAGACTTCTGGTTAAAAAAAAAGTATCTACAATCAACTAAAAAAGACTTAATTTTACATAGATCTGACACGATATTTCAGTGTTTTGTCTGGTGTATGTGATACGTATAATGCCCCCCCCCCCCAATAAATGATTTAATAAAAAAATTCTTCCTACTTTTGGTCAATAAAATTTTTTCAGGAGGGGGCATTTCAATGAGGCGGGAGGCAATTCCAAACAAACTTTTATTTTATTTTGGCCTCAATAAAAATCATATGTTATTTTAAAAACCGAATTAAACTAAAGCAATTCTGTATATGACAAAAGCTAAATACCTCCTAACAGCTTTTTAATTGTGTGCTTGAAAAAAAGGAGAGGGGGTTGGGGTTAAAAAGTTATTGTCATGCAAGGTATTTCATCAATTTTTTAAAGAATTAATTTTACTTATTTATCATTTTTTTTAAATTACCGGTAATTATTTTTTTTTTATTTTACATGTTGAGCTTATGAAATCACATCGTTAAACTGAACACGGGACAAATCTGCAATTTTCTTTTAGATTTCAATCTGTGCAAGGCTGATGATGCAAGTTTTTTTTTTTTTTAATGGGGATCGATGATCGATGATCGTTGGTGAATGTGCCCTTTCATTTAGGAACTTGAAATTATTGCAAAAATTAAAATAACATCAGATTATTTTATTGCATTAAAGAAAAAATAAATAAGATTTCTAGTCATAGCAAATACTGTCACAATTGAATTTAAGCCAAATTTATAATACAATGTGTACACTACTACACTTTACTGAAACAATGTATAATGAAGCAATATGTAATGAAGGAATACATTAAGGTTTATAGGGAAATATGGCAATTTTCTGCGGAGAGGAGTTCCATACACGTACATGCAGAAATTGGGGATTTGTAAAAATGGTCATTGTTGAAATCATAGATTTATGTGCCCAAATTACAGCTGAGAAAAAAAAAATATTTGATTTTGTCATATTTTATGAAGACATCTCAGTATTCCATTTATCACAGACTTTATGTTCTGGAAAATATATTTTAGAAGCTTTCCAAAAACTGAGTAGTTTTAGATAAAGAAAAAAGTTATTTAACTTGAAAAAAATATTAATGCAAATAAATCAAGCCCCCCTTTTTTTAACATATTGGAGGAGGATCTGGTAACACTTTATTGCCCCCCCCCCCCTCCAGAAAACTATTTCAGATAATTATACTTTTCTCACTTTGAGTCAAAATGAGGTTCTCTGTTGATTGAATTTCAAAAGCTTACAGGGAGTTCACTCCCAGGGGCATAGCCCCTACGGACAGTGTTCTGGACCTAATAAGAGCGGTGGTGGTTTGTAATTATATGCTCTCCATCTGCATAATTGCACTTTCCCTAATACTTATTTTAACCCTTTGCCTTAATTATGAGGAAGAACAAAATCACAAAATCTTTAAAATACATTCTGAATTTTGATTGTCATTCTTAATGTGTATGAAAGACACTTATCTCTGCTGGGAAAACTTCAACGAATTGTTTTAGTCCCCTACCAGTGAAATCGGAGGGGACTATAGGTTTCCTCTGCGTCTGTCCAGCTGTCCGTCTGTCTGTCCCCGTCTGTCTGCCAGTCTGTACGTCCCACTTGGTTTTCCGCACTTTTTTTTTAAACGCTTGCAGATATTGAGCTGAATTTTGGTATGTGGGTGTATCTTGGTGAGTTACACATCAAGTTTGAATTTCGCATCGCTTCATTGGTTTTTGATAGAATAATGGCATTTTGAATTTTTCACATTCGTTTAATTGAGATTGGCTTCATGCTGCGCTAACTTCCGATGGTCGACATAAATAAGAAGCGAGAAAAAGACGTTGGAAAAATGAGTTTTTGTCTTAATGTGGATTGTTTTATCTACAACCTCAAAATCAAGCAGTTTTACCTTGGACATAACTTTTGCATATTATTAAATGACATCCTGAAGAAAAACTCAGTTTCGAAAAGGGGAACCCGGTAGGGGACATGTATTGCTTATGCAATACTCTCAGAATGCTTGTTTATGTATGGTACGGACAGACAGTGTCTGACACGCGGATAAACAAGAAAGTTGACATCAGATTTAACCTCAAATGTTACCCACCATGCATATGGCATGCCTAAGCAAACACTGTGCTAAAATTTCAAGCATCTTCAATGAATAGCTGAGTTGCTGAGAAAACTGCAACCAAACACTTGCTACATACAAACACACAGGCAGACAGACAGACGAACGGACTGACACACAAAGGTAAATCAGTATACCGCCCTCTCCTTCGTAGCGGTGGTATAATAATCCCTTGCGAAAGGAGCAGCAAAATATCATTTGAACAACATCAAGAACAAGTTGAATCGAGGAGGGGGGGGGGCACTCTTGACTATGTGCTTGTCCTACTTAAACTAAGAAGTGCATCTACAGGTTAAAACATGTGTATATAAACTATATTTGTTTAAATTAATAAAACAAGTTCCTTCCAAAAGATCGGTCATGATTTTATGTAGGTATTTATTGTTTCCATGGAAACAACTCCTGCTGCAGTAATTCAGATATATGTGATCGGTTTAAGTTTGGGTTCATCTGTTTTTTGTCCCGCTAAATAAATTAGAAGTATAATCAAACATTGGTGGCAGTTTAATGAGTTTTGTATACTGGTACATCAATAATTATTTGGATTTTTCCTCGATTATTTGGTTACCATAGCAACTGTTTTTTAAATAAAATTATGAATTTCTATTTTCATGTTAGTGAAATGACATTCAACGGTTTGCATGGTTTGTGGAATTTATTTCATTGAGGAAGAAATATAATCGGGCAATAAAGCAGTAGATTTTGAAAATTAAACATATCAATGATAAGGATTTTCCTGAACTATTGGCTGCCATAGCAACCATTTTTAAAATAAATTATGAATTACTATTTTGATATTTAGTAAAATACAATTAAATTCAATTTATTTTACTGAAAAAGAGAAAAAATCACGAATGAAGCTTTTATAATATCCATTGTATACTTATCAATATCACAATATATGTGATAGCAACCATTATAAGGAAGTGTTAAAAAACTATTTGGTTACCATAGCAACGTGATTTGGGACGCCTAAATTTTTATTTATTACTTTTTTTTTTTATTTGTACATTTAAGTGAAATAACAAATATGATAAGTGTTATCTATTTATTGAAGAAATTAAAATAATGCACTGAGGCCACAGATTCTGCATAATGAAAACGCCAATAGCTACAGTGATTTTTTCTAACTTTTTGGTTGCTATAGTAACACATTATTTTTGTTTAATTTATGAATTTACATTTTTATCATTTTATTTTGAAATTATGAGGTTTAGTAGTTTGATTTGTTTGACTTTTGATTTTTTTTTTAAAGCTATATGTACAAAAAGGAGCCAAATGTTGAATCTACAAATTCATCCAAAATCTCCATAGCAACCGTTTTCATTTTCGTTTTATTTTATTCTAAGAAATATTACCATTCTAGAAATTTTATATTTTGTTGAGTAAGGAATGACCTTTCCAGTGATGGTAGTTGTTTGTTGTGGATTGCCCGCGTTTTCTTGCTACTACGCTTAGAAAATGCTGAAAATTGACATTTTTTCAAATTTGTTAAAATTTGAAAAATTCACATTTTTCACTGAAAGACAACTCTTTTATGACGAACTACTGAATAGTTTCATCAGTTGTTGTAGTTACTGCAACAAATATTCTATCAGAGTAGGCAACAATTAAATCTGTAAATAAAATTCAGAAAATAGAAATTTATGATGAAGATTGTATACTTTCAGTAGGTTGCTCCGTATTTTTGGCCTCAAAATGGTGGTTTTGGTTACCATGGCAACCGGGACTCAAAATAAAAAAATAACCCCAAAAATGTTCTATACATGGTGTTTCTACATTGCATGCAAAAAATCAGCAAAATCTGTGATGTACCATTTCCAACTTTTTTCTAAATTCTTTGATTCTTGCAGAGAATGACTCTTAATATATAAAACTACATACAGCAAAAATGTTATTGTAAAATGATCGTTTAAATCATTGTTAAAATGATACATTTCCTGCAGTGAAGATGCATACCTCAAACATTTCTATGGAGACAATCCTGTCGAACCGCTTCTGTGTTGAGAAGTCGTTGGCGTCCGCTGTAATACACTGGAGTCTGTCTGATACCCCCATCGTGAGCCCCTGATTTTCTATAAACTGTCTCTGCGTATTCGAATTTGATACACATGTCACGTGACATCGAGGATAGTGCTGCAAGACGTAAAGGCCAAATGATCCCCATCCACAACCCAAATCCTTTAATGAAAAATGACTTTAAAATAATCAATATAATTTTAAATCAAATTTAATTCACCATCGATAGGCATAAATGTCAGTTAATAAAAAAAATGAAAAGAAATGTTATTAAGTTGGCTCGAAGTGTTGGATTCAACCAAACGATGAGAATTCAGGGCAAACGATGAACAAATTATTGTAGAAATTTGCAGGAATAGAAGATCTTGTAAAATTGTAAACCAATTGTAATTCATCCCTACCCCCTTTTTAAACGAAGCTAGGGTCCAAAACTTGAAAGTCACGAATGTCGTTATATTCATCAAAATTGTTAGACGCGCCTCTTATGTATGGATGTGCTTACATGTTCATGTATGAACATAAAGGTAGTATTTACGTAAATAAAATATTTTAACAACATGAACAACATCAATGAAAAAATCAGCATATGCAATCCGGTTGTTTCCTTGCATTCGTTAAGACAAATCGCATAGTTTTACATGTTTGTTTTTAATTCGTTTTTTAAAGCCAAAATAGCACTAGAAATTGATTCATCAAAAAGATTAAAGAAACAATTTTTTAAAAATGAATACAAATTGATCTTTTAAATAAGGGTTTTTTTAAAAAGCATGTCTTTGCTTACTTTCAGTATATTTCAAACATGCGCCGCAGGTATCGCGACGGCACGCAATATATATACTATCGATATCCGATTTTTAAAATAGATCTCTGTGTTTACTGAATTTTAATCAATATTTTCAGATAGTAAAATAATTCTTAGAGAAAATTTAACAATCTTTATTTAATTGAACTCAAAAAACGCAGATTATTATGTGAAAACTGTTTTAATCAAGGTTTATAAATTTACACACTGGAATGTATTTCATTATTGCTTTGTAATTGAAACAGGATTTTCCAAATATTTCAACAAGTGGAAAATGTTCAGATTTTAGGCATATGCATTTCATAATAAACTAGAGGAACTGTGAGCAATAAGCTCACTAAATGATACCCCCGCCTCTAATATGAATATAATGACTGTGTCCATGTTTTGCTTTGGGAAATACAAAATATGTATAGGATCAAAAAGTAAAATAGTAGGTGCACAATGGCGATACATAATCAAGATTCTGTAAAAGTCTCATCAAATTTCATTCAGTAGTATGAGAGGAGTTGCAGATAAAAAATGGCTTCCCCAAAGCGTAACAGACGGACGGACATCCCGATTACTATATGCCCTCCCGCTTTTCAAGCGAGGAGTATAATTATGATCATCTATCCTCTTGATACAAACTTACCAGTATGCTGTGTCCATCTTCGACTTTTGACCGCTCACAATACAACTTTAATGAAACCTCTTCAGCTACAACGAGAATTAGATATTGCATATAGAGGTACTGTGAGCAATGAGCTCACTAAATGATATCCCCCGCCTCCCATATGGTTATAATGGCAAAGTCCATGGTTTGCTGTGGCCAGGAAACCCAAAATATGAGTCGGATCAAAAAGTAAAATAGGAGGTGCACAATGGCAATATGTAATAAAGATTCTGTGAAAGTTTCATTAAATTTCACTCTGTGGTATAAGAGGAGTTGCGGATAAGAGATGGGTACCCCAAAGCGTAAAAGACAGACGGACGGACGGAGGGACATCCCGATTACAGTATACCCTCCCACTTTTCAAGCAAGGGGTGTAATAAATCGTTCACATGTACAATGTATACCATAATTAATCTGACTAAATAGTCATCTTTCTAACTGATCAATACATGTGCATAGGAATTATGACAATTACAACTGTACGACCGGTCAACCCGGGATGTTTGGTCCTCAAAGGCTAATGATTGATTCCACCTCTAAAATTTCGGGGAAGGGGATGGGGGGGTGGGGGGTGGGAGGGGGGTCATTTTTATGCCCTGTTAAGAATTGTTTGTAGATTTTTGGGGGGTTGACTTCTGATTCACTGTTCCTTTTCCTTATCTGTTTTATATTTTTGCATTGTATAAAACGGTTCTAAAAAAATATCCTTTGATCATCTGTGAATAAAATTGTTGGACCATGCTTTCATATTGTTTTGGTCATGGCTTAGAGAGAGTACGTCTTTATCATCTCAGGTGCAACTGATCAATAAGACAATCTCGGAGCAACGGTTTTAAAGGGGTAACTAGTATCTTGGTGAAAATTTATTTTACACAAGAAAAAATGACATGAAATAAGGCTGATAAGAATTATTTTATTTTTTTTTTTTTTTTTTTTTTTAACTTACTATAGTATTCAATAACAGTGCTTAAGTTTTGATAATAATACATGTGCATGTTGTGCACATATAAGTGCATTGCCGAGATCATTTTTCCCACATTTCCTATGCATTTCAATACATCATAAAATGTACCTTGGATTTCTGAAATGAGAGCAGTTTTTTTCGGGGGGGGGGGATACTTGAGTTAATATTTTTTTTTAAACTTTACCCTCTGCTAGATCATGAACACCATCATTCCAAATACAACCGCTGTACTTTAATCGAGGTCCAAGCACCTGTGATAAAAAAATGTATACTGAAATGATAAATTTTGAAAAACAAAAATTGTCATTGTGAAAAGGTGCATATTCTTCTAAAAATTTAACCATAATATCTAAAATGTATTAATCTTTTTATAAATAAAAGATCATTGCTCAAGTTAATTGAGCCCAGAATTCTATTTGTGGTGACGCTCCCCCCCCCCCCCCCCCCCGAAACCATGCAAATGTAATGTACTAGGCTTGGAGAGCTTTCAGACACTTGTATTTTAAAACTTACCGTTTTGAAGAACTCTGTTGGAACTTCATAATGTTGTTCATTGGCTTTGTCTGTTTCTATAGCAACGGGAGACGTTCGGAGCCTCTCTATAAATTTCTTTTTGAAGAATTGTTGTCTCTCTATATCACCGCCACATCTTAGTTTATCTATCCATGCCGACAAGTTCATCCGAACCCCTAAAAAAAATAACAAATGAATGAGGCCTAATAAAATGAATTAAACATTTCATTTCAATGCTCCAAAGTATTCCCTCTTAATACAATAAATTGATACGGTATTCATCAAATTTACTGGTTCATGTAAGTTTGGTTGGATGGTTGGTTATATCAAGTTCCATGTGGAAAGCATAAACACGTTTTTTTCAAAACCAAACAGGCAAAGTGTACTTAGAAAATATCTCAGGACCTTTCAAGTTTTTTTTTTATTTTAAACACGGAAAAATACAGTCACATCGCCCCTTAATTTTTTTATGCCCCCGTAAACGAAGTTTCAGGGATATATAGTTTTTGTCGTGTCCGTCCGTCTGTCTAGCTGTCTCTCTGACTGTCTGTCTAGCTGTCTAGCTGTCCGTCTGTCTGTCTAGCTGTCTGGTAGTATCTCTGTCTGTCTGTTTGTCAGCAAAAGCTTCAACGTTACTCACAACTTTTGATATAGTGCAGCTATGACTCTCATATTTCACATGTGTATTTCTTGTGACAGGACCTTTCACATATGTAATCCTTTTGACAAGACCTTTCATTGAATATCAACAACTTTGGCCCTTAGGCCTTCACGTTTGACCTACAATGTAATTATAAGTAATCTTTGAGACAAGGTTTCTTTAGACCTTGAGCCTGGAATTTGTCCTACATTTAAAAATGTTCACCTTGGTCATCACCTTTGAACGGGTGGTGCCAGGGTTTTATATTTTTGTATTTCTTGTGAAAAGGCTTTAAAAAGTTGATCTGCATTTAAAAAGCTTAACCTTTGCTATGTTGTCAAACGGGGGCATCAGTGTTTCACAAAAACATCTTGTTCGCCTAGCAATATACTAGTATTTAATCAAAATAAGATAAAGAATGCTAGCATCCGCACATTAACAAAAAAAAATTATATATCACCATAAGCATCTCCATTTCCATGCATCTTAAATACCACAGACATAATTTTATCGATATGTATCTACGACTTCTGAGTTTGTTTTTCAAGATTTATTTTTATTAGCATTTGTTGATATTGCATTTATATAAGAATTCAACTTCAACGCGAAATAAGTACTGTGTAAAAAAAAAATAAATAAATAAAGAAGAAGGATCTTCATAAATATGAATAATTCATAAAAGAAGCAAAATTCGGAAGGCCCTTAATATATACAAGTACATATCGGGGGGGGGGGGGGGGGCAACTGTCGGTGCTACTGCTAGTAATAATTATCTCAAGTATAATCTGCATAATCTATCAGGAAAATATTTCGATTACATTTGAAGATACAAAAAAAAAAAAAAAAAAAAAAAAAAACCATACTAGTAATGCAAAATAATAGGGGCTGGGGGTTACCTCTTTTCTTATTTAAAACAAATACATTGAATGGTCAACGTTATCACGGTTGGGTCAAACAAATTCGAAAGGTAAACAAAAGATACATATTCCTATGTTTAAAGTTTTTTTTAATGTTAAAAGTAAAAGGAAATATAAAAGATACCTTTTCTCAACGTATCATCATCTGCCATACTGAGTTTGACTCTGTAAACCGTTAAGATTCTCCAAACTTTATTTCACTGGCTGTTTTTCTCAAATCCCACCTGCCTGACCTGGACAAAGTCCAATGTTTACTGTGTTTTTAATTATATGAAACCCGAGCCCGATGACCTTTAAAGTAAAAGATCAAACACATGGGTGCCAACTCTATCATGTAGTACAGTGGATTGCTTAATTTGAAAAAAAAAATCAAAATCAAATATCCAATGGAAATGAAAATAAATGAATACAATTCGGCTAATTTCCTGCATAAATTATTTTGGATATATAACTTATAAATCTTTTTTTTTTTCAAGTAATAAGGATATCGATGGAAATACCCCCGATCCTAAATTTGAGGACCTGTAGATGATACAATGAGTCTGGTCAGGAAAAACAATAAAAATGCTGAACTGATCCGTTAATAATGTCAAATATTTACACAGTATGAAATATAAAAAAGCTAAATGCTATCATTAACACCTTTAGTTAATTTTAAAATTCTTAAAATTCTGTTGCAGCTGGTAAAACGTATTTGAGTGAGCTTTTAAAAGCTGAAACTCAGGAATAGAAAAAAAATCGTATAAATGTAATTCCCTTCTGGTAACAATTGAAATACTGTAAACTTTACGGGTTTCAGTATAGGATTATAAACAAAATCTAATTAAGCAAAGAATTCATTTTTATTCATAATTAAATAAATGACTGCAGCATTGTCAACAGCGGCGGATCCAGGAATTTCAAAGCATTGGGGATTGGGGTGGAAGGGGTCTTTGGACTGCAATTTTAACATGCAAGAGACGTTTCCCTTGATTTAAGATCATTTTTTTTTTTAAAATCAAACAGGGAGGTGGGGGGTGGGGGGGGGGGGGGGGAGTTCGCCGGTCCTGGATATGCCTTTGGTCAAATATGCTGCATATAAGAAACACTAGAATACCTTCTTCATATGGAAAATGTAATCATTATTACACTGACGATCAGCCACGTAGCATCGTTTTTGAAAGAAGGAGGGGGGGGGGGGCAGAGAATTTTTTTTTTTTTACTTATACTTGAAAAAGTTGACAAACAAGCCCTCCCCGTTGCTACGTGCCTGACGATACACTTGTGTAAATACCAAGAAACCTTTTATTTTAAGATTTATAATATTGATGAATTTACTGATATTCAAAATGTTAGTCTTTATTGGCTTGAAAATAATATTTATACCGTAAGATGCACACCGAAACCTATTGATGCACACAATGCCACATCGAAAGAAAATTAATTACGAAACACAGAGGATTTCTGTGTTAAATTTATTTCTTCCTACATGCGGTTTAAAATAGACTCCCACGTGCCTATTTTTAAAAATCACATTAAGTTAAACTTTATTCTTTGATGTTCGCCTTAATACATGCATAATGTTTTATAAATAGTTCGAATACGTATACGTAATAGGTTGATTGTATAAAAACCTGCAATTAAAAGGGGAAGCGAAGGGAAATAATTAAACAACACGAAAATGGCAATTATTCTGTGCAATATTTATTAGTTTGCAAATTCTATATACACACGTTGCAACTTCATATAATTGCATGCAAATAAAAATAATAAAATAAATTAAAAAAATGTCAAACATGATCAATCATAGATGTGCAGTTTGCTCGCATGATAATTTGCATAAACGACAGGGCGACGTAAAGTGTAAAATTATCACGCAAACGAACTGATTGAAAAGTATCATCAAAAATTAATTATTAATAAAATTCTTAACTGTAAGCTATATGTACATGTATCTCACCTCTAAATATTGCCAGTTACAGTGTAATGTTTAACTTCCCAAGGCTTTTTTTTTCTTTTGGACTTGTTTGAAGAAGTTTAAAGTCCCTGCTGCAGAGAAAATACTTACAACAAATCTGTATTTCATCCCCTATAAAACATAACTAATGCAACTAATATATATAAATAATCATAAAACACGTTTTAAATTTGTAAAAAAAAAAAAAAAAAAAAAAAAAAAATATATGGAGATAACGAACAAATTCAAGCTTAAAAGTCCATAAAACAATACGAAATTGGAACAGGACAAAGACGGACCTCTAAAACATCAGAGGTTGAATAAGGTGCCACGGAGGAGTGAACATCCCAGCCGATATTCATTTATTTGTTCTACATCTAATGTATTGAAAAAAAACTAGAGGTACTGTGAGCAATGAGCTCACTAAATGATACCCCCCGCCTCCCATATGAATATATTGGCAGTATCCATCTTTTGCTCTGGAAAATCCAAAATATATGTCAGATCAAAAAGTAAAATAGGAGGTGCACAATGGCAATATGTAATAAAGATTCTGTGAAAGTTTCATTAAATTTCCTTCAGTGGTATGAGAGGAGTTGCGGATAAGAGATGGGTACCCCAAAGCGTAACAGACGGACGGACGGACAGACGGAAGGACGGACGGACAGACGGACGGACGGACAGACGTACAGATGGACGGAAATACCGATTACTATATACCCTCCCGCTTTTCAAGCGGGGGGTATAATAATAACTGTGAAAATGAAATATGTAGAAAGGCTTCGGAATAATCGAATTTAAATTATGTTGACATAAATACAAGGAGAATGTTCGACTGTTCTTGTTATAAATATGCACGTATTACATGATGGCAAATTGGATTTAAATTTAAGATGATTGAGAAAGAAAGTTTGCAGCAATATCAATTAAGAAAATAAGAAAATCTAAATTGTCACACTCCGTAGTCTAATTAAGTCAGATGAAAATTGTTTGTGAAAGTCTAGTAATATCTAATAAAACAAATATTTAAATATCTTGAACCAAACAAATGAAATACAAAATTGCTGCATTGGTTATGAGGTAGTTTCACAAACACATCTTGTACATGTATCTATATGGAATATCAAAGATACACAATCAATGAAAACTATGTAGGTTAGAGATGATATTTATTAAAGCAACATGCTTCACACAATATGTGATATAGTCGATTCGAATCAAAAGAAAACAAAGAAAGACACCGAGAAAAACACAGAGCTTTCTCATTTAAGATACTACATGTATTTCAATCTACAATTAAGGATATGGAAATAACGAACAGTATTCAATATCAAAGTCCATAAAACAATACTTAATAGGAGCAGAGCAAACACGGACCATGGAGGAGTGAGCATCCCCTGCCGACTGGTCATACCCGCCGTGTGCTCATGGTCTTGATCGAGAAATAACGGAAAAATCCGTCGTCAAATCAGTCTATATACATGTACATATAACTAGAAAATAATAGACTAACAATTAGTATTAAAAACATCAGTCAGCATTTGACTCAATGATAAATTGTATTTGCTGACAAGGTTATTGACAAAAGTCGAAAAAATAATTTTGTTGCAATCTGCTGTTTTCTTAACTTGACAGATGTTAAAAATTAAAGTTGCTTAGTGTAAACAGAGTAACTTCTGCAAGCATTTACTTAATGCATTTTGGCAATTCTACAATTTCATGCATTTTTTAAAAATTCACACGAATTATTCATAACTAAAAACAACCAACATCCCATATACATGTATATATGCGATTTAATATGGTTAGACAGGGTAAGACAGGGATTGTCTCATACAAAGTTGAAATTATTCGTTTGTCAAAGTTAACAGTAGAGTTTTGTCTTACTGTGATCTTTTTGCTTTAAGAAGAATTTATGATGAATAAACAAAAGAGAAGAATAAATATCAGGCAGCGAAATAAATCCCACAATCATAGTCAAAATCAGAAGACCCAACGTCCCCATGGCGTTTGAAGAGGCCCGAAAATCTCTGGCACAAGAAAGCTTTCTTATGTGTGAAGATATTTGTCTTTTATTCACAGCTAGTGCAAGCTTCCTGCTTTTAATCGATTCATCCAAAGCCTCTGTGGAAATTGCACGAAAGCAACTGCAGCATGTACTTCCAGTTGAAGTGACCGCTATCTCATCATTTGATTCGGTTAGGGTGGTTAATGTTTCTGCAGCAGGGGAAGTAGCCAAATATGTTGAATAACTGGAACTTTCTTGAACAGGCGTTGTTCTGTCCGTGGCTTCAGTTGGATTAACTGAAGTTTGTATGTCACTCGTTATTTCTGACGTTGTCCTTCCTGCTGTTGTTTCAGTTGGATTGACTGAAGTTTCTACGTCACTCGTTTCTTCTGACGTTGTGATTAATGCAGTTGTCGATAGCAGACTTCCCATTGAAGTCGAAGTACTTTCAACGGGAGCTACGGTTGAAGCACTACTTTGCTCTTCCTCCAAAGTACTAATTGCTGACGTCTGAGTTTGACTTGTGCTCACTGAACAGTCAAGGGTACTTTTAGGTTTGGTCTTTCCTGCAAATTTGCATTCACGGCACGTATCATCTCTAACAGAGGTGTCACAGTGACTAAGATAACAAGAGTTATCTACCGTATATATGGAATAGCCATTACAGTTAACGTCATCATCACAAAGAGTTTTGCAATCCGAATTCAAAAGTCCAGTTTGTACAAAGTATGGTGATATCGCTTTTGTGTATTCGCCGTGTAATGTGTAGGATCCACCACAACATAACAAAAAGTAGTGCTGCTTAACTGAAATTTCAAAAAAAAAAAACATATTAAAAAAAAATAAACCTAAGGTTTACTTGAGTCCTCCAAGTTTCCAAACTTCACCTACTTTACCAGTAAAGAGAATTTCTAAATGAAACACCAAAATTTTATGAATGAATTCTTAACCAAACAATCCCATCACTAGAGTTACAGTTCCTTAAAAGTGACAAACTCATGACAAAGGAGTGATAAAAGGATATCAACAGTTTCGTATTAAGTCATTATTTCTCAAGTTTTATGTTCCATACCAGGGTTCGAAATTAACAGTACTGACGAATGGCTGAAAATAATGCGATAGTCCATTAACCAAATAAATTATTCAAACTATTGAGTGACAACGCTTTCAAGGAGATTTAGATAATGCCAATAATGAGATTAATTAGGGAATAACTATCTTCTAATTTGGTAGAGAAATGTTAATGCTAATTTAACGGTCGCAAACTGAGTTATACCGGCGAC